TTTAGTGTAAAGATGGCATTAACAGTCAGAGAAAAACATGACCCTGTGCAATGCCAAAATATAGGTATCGACAGATTGTAGTACCGTGAGAGCGCATATGTGTATAACAATAATATCTAGTATGGTTTTAATTTTCTGATTACAAAATCAATATTTATTCCACTAAAAACAATATTTATTCATCTTATTACAGTGTTGAATAAGTAACCTTTCAGAATATGGTTATTTAAGGGCATACGATACAGTCTTGATCCCACGTTGATTTTTTTACGAAAATTTGCATACAAGCTATTTTACACTTAGTTAATTCCAATATGTTATCAAAAATATACCTTCATGTGCTAAATTTAGAGATAACTAGGGTCGAAATTTTAGACATTTACTTAAATTTTCGTTGTTTTTTTTGACATTTTTATCCTTTTGGACAGATCATAGATATAATAGCTATTATATCTATGGACAGACATACTTAACTTTTTTGTTTCAAAAGATAAACACATGCGGATTTTTGTAAAAATATTTGGAATATCGGCTTTACAAAAGTATGCTCTTAAATTGTGAAACAATTCTTTGAAAATAATTAATTTTTATTAAAATTTCATAATTTTGGTTAAAAAAAAAACTGCATTTTTTGCTGCATATATATCTAGTTAAAAAAATCATCGGTGATTTTTTCATAAAAATTGGAACAAATAATCTTCATACAGCATCAAGTCAAATGTCCTTTTAAAAAAGAGGGGTCCATGTACTCGTTTTCAATCTAATGATTAAAATCACTCGAAAAATGCATCTTTTCCCGATAGGTCGCCGTTTTAAGTCGCGAAAAAAACATGTTACGTTAGCAACGTCATTACCTTCCCAGTAACTGTATCGTATGGCCTTAAATTTCCGGGCTCGGTAAACAACATCACCGTAAAAATTAGGATGTGCTATTCTGTTTGAAATAAGTTTTCTTCATGTACAGGCAAGCTTGTATCTATGGATGGATTTAGTAAAGGTGTTGAGTAATTTGTGGTAACGAAATCCCTGACTTAATAATTTACGAGTAATACATAGATACGCTCATTGAAATCCAAAACATCACTACAGACACGAGCATAGCGAACGAGTTGGGATATAAGACGGTGCCAAAGGAACATCAACGTCCAAAAAAAGAAAATTAACAATAGAAGCGTCCTTTTTGTCGTAAATTTTTGTGTAAGAGTTTCTCGTGTAAAACTGAAATATCTAAATCTAGGAAAGGACAGTCATTGCTGTTAATATTTGATTTATTATATTAAGTTCCTTTCGGGAAATTTCGGCAGTATATTTAGAGAATTCTTGATTATTTAACGAAAAAATATCATCAAGATAATGGTAAGTGATGTTGAATTTATCAATTTTAAAAATGGAATTTAGACGGGTCTTAACTGAGTTTGGCCATAAACTGTGATTCATAACAGTACAGGATAAAGTCTTCTATTAAAGGGACAAAATTGGTGCCCATAGGAATACCTGCAACCTGTCTATAAACTTTATTGCCGAAACGTACAAAAATGTTGTCAAGGAGAAAAGTTACAGCTTTAATCATCTCATCGCACCTCCAGTAGGTATATCTAGCATATTTACCTTGATCAGAAACAGAGAAAAAGTTAGTTTACTTCTTATCAGACTGGGATGATTTTTTACAATTTAGTTCATCAATAGCTCAAGCAAGTTTCTTTCTCAGAGAATTAATTGGAAACTCCACAAGATGGCATTACAACTGTTCTACCAGACTCATTCTTAAATGGATTTGAAGTTAGACCTATAAGCTTCAATAGTATCATAGGGCCTTCTGTGGCCAAGAGGTTTAAGTAGTCGAACTACTGTATCACTAGAATGTCAACACTGAGGTTGTGAGTTCGAATCCCGCACGTGGCAGGTGCGCTCGGCTCCAATCTTAATTGACCAGGATTGTCAGTTTTCCTACCGAAGGTCGGTGGTTCTCTCGTGGCACCCAGCTTCCTCCACCAATACACCTTATCGCTATTCCCGGCTGACCCGAGAATCTGTCCCGCTTGAACTATTGACGTCATACAACAATCACTTTTCCATTGTGGCGTCAGATATTTTGTATTATGACGTCAAAATTTTACGGGAACCTGTGTGATGTCCAGTAATGGCGGACAAATAGCGATAAGGTGTATAAATACTGACCGCCACGAAATCGCACAACAGTGCTTAAAGTGACGTTAAACACCAATCAATCAATCGATAGTATCTTGAACAAATTTTGCCATGCGTTCTATTCATAAATCTCAAAGATTTAGCCTTTTTTAAATTAAATACATACAACTTTTACATTGAAATATGCATAGTAATAAAATTGAGAATGGAAATGGGGAATGTGTCAAAGAGATAACAACCCGACCATAGAACAGACAACAGCAGAAGGTCACCAACAGGTCTTCAATGCAGCTAGGACATGAATTTTACATTAGATTTTGATAAAATTTATACTTAGTTTGAAGATCAATAATTACTTAAGCAAGCTATAAGTTAAATGATTTAATCTTGCAAGTTATTTTGTTAGAGGTTGACTTTTTGTCGAAACAACAAAATAAGCATCCTTGATATGCCAAATGCTTTGTGTACATAAGTTTAACTTAAAAGAATCTCACGGAGTCAAAAAAAACCAAGGCCGGTTTGTTGATTTTTGATAGCGTTATGTCCTTGAAAATTATAAAATTGGTCCTTTTCAACTTCATACTTTATTTAGCCTGCTCAACTCTTTTGATTCCAGCATCAATGATGAGTATTTTGTAGACGAAACGCGCGTCTGGCATACAAAATTTTAAGACTGGTATCTATGATGAGTTTATTTGGAAAATCAGCAAAGTGGTCTTGTAATCCACTCACTGGTTTCGTTTCCCTTTGTATTTAAATATCTTAAGTAAGTTTGAACATAAGTCCAGCAGCACTTTTCACAAAAAGTCTTAAGAGTGAAATTACTCGTAAGTCATACACATTTCAGTATAACTTTAATCTTACGATCAATTTTAATCGTAAGATTTTTTGTGAAAAGAGTCGCAGATTCCGAATTGATATAAGAGTTAAACCCTTTAATAACTTTATAAATGGATAAGCAGAATTTTTAAGCTCTTCAATGATATCATGTTTTGCCGCAATAAAGTAAAGGAATTTTAGTACCTTGGGCGTCCATGTGAACGTGCATGTCTGCGTCCTGGTCCACAGATCTCAGAAACAAGTTGGTGAATCATCTTGTAATTTTGTATGTGTTTACATCTATAATGGTAGTCCTACTCTAATTTGCAAGGATATTTAAGTTATTTCATGGTAAAATTACTTTAGTTAGGTTAAGATCTGAGTTGATATTGGTCAAGTTTTACACTGAGGAACAAATCTGGATTACAGGCTCTTGACTTGGTACAGACACATAAATAATGTAACCTTGACATTTCATTTCAAAAACTGTCAATGAATACCTATGGATTTAGTTCTTGTCTGTTGAACCAAGATATCTGTTTTATAGATTTAGCCTGTGAACTGAGAAATATGCTTTTAGGATTTATTCGTCAGTGTTTTGTACATATGTTCTGTAGATTTAGTCCTTGTCCTTACATCTAACAGATTTCGTGCATGTGGATTGCGTATTTTTCACTGGACTAACCGTGTTATTTAAAAACCCTTTTACCTCCAAGTTCCTCCCTTTTCTCATTTCCTTTTTGAAGCACAGGAGTTCACATGGTTTTCACGGTTAGATCAGAGTCAAAGAGATACTTATACAGCGGCAGCGACGGCGTTAACTATTTGTTGGGGTCTATTTTGTTTTAAAGCTTTAAATCACAGAAGGTAGAAGACCTGGATGCTCCATACCTTGAGTACAGAGATGTCTCATGTTACGAAGTTTCCATCTGTCCATTGTCCTTGACCTTATTTTCATTGAACAGCGACTGCTTAGAAAAAACTAATGTTTTGTTGTCACTTGAATTTCTCCATTATAATGAGTAATAGGATAGCTATATTTGGTATATGGGATCCTTGCAAGGTATACTTGTCCGTCAGGCAGGGTTTGTCTGGCCTGGACCTCATGTTCATGGTTAATTGATAAGTGTTTACTTTTCATGGCTAAGTCATTTTCTCAGATACTATCAGCAATAGGTCAACTATAATTTTGTGAATGGAACAATTGCATGACCAGTGTATGTTGGTCTGGCAAGGTTCATACGACCATTTGCACAGATCAGTGATATTAAAAGTGAAAGTTTATATGATATTTGTATAAACTTTTATCTTAAAGTATGTCGACATAAATTCAATCGCAATCAGTAAAGCAGGCGAGACATATCTCAGTGTGTACACTCTTGTTTTGGTGAGGTTCGTTTTCACGGCTCAGTTTTCTGTGTTGTGTTTTGTGGACCATTGTTCGTATATTCGTCTTTGCCCTTTGACTACGGTAGTGTCGTTGTTGAAACATTGCAACTTTCAGGATTTCATTAAGCTCACAGTCGCAATAGGAATGCACAGCAGGAGAAAATACAAGCATACACATACAGTATACAGTAAATGGTAGACAGAATTCGACTTAGGATTATTTGTTTGTTTGGCCCTCTTGGTATCTTCTTACTTTTTGTCCCAAGTCAGTTAACTTCTTAACAATCTTTTGGGGTATCTATAATTTACTGTAATTCTAAAATGACATTTAAAATGTTGAACAAAAGAAGATATTTAGTTCATCAAAGGTGGTCCTTTTGTGTTATCCTATTTAATACACTGACTCATTGTCAAAAAAGATCTAACTTTATATAAATTATATTGTGATACACGTCTTACTTATTTTCTCAGGTATTGTTTTCACCTGCATTTAGACCGGTGTATTTACTTATGTCATGCATCACTAATAACGATTTGTTGTATTTCAATTATTTATCAAAAATAAGGTCACTCAGAGCATTACATGAAGTATGTCATTTTGATCTAAAGGTTTTTGATTTATCACCTGGTATACGAATGTGTATTGACAGTCCTAACCATGTGCTTTTGTTATGCGCAGACAAGTTTTAGCTTGTGAGTATCTTTGCGCAGGTCGTGAACTTCGAGAAGTTGGGAAAGTTGTACGGGTGTATTGCCAAAAATGGATTTAAAGTGACAGGATTGACTTTTGACGATATATCAACTTATTCAGACTTAATTAAGAACAATAATTTACATTTTGGATTTATATTTCTAATGTTTAGTGTAGGGAGAAGTAAAATTATATATTATTTCCCATTCTCACGGATCTACCCGGATTTCCTTATGTTTACAAGTTTATTTTTTACAAGTTGATAAAAATATGTGTTTAACGATATCTCGTTATAAATCGCTCTGAGCCTGGGAAAAAATGAAAGAATTTGCATTTCTTTTTGTTGTCACCTGTGCTTCTCACCTGGTCAATTCAGGTAAGTAAAACAAATTGTTTGTAATATAGATATCAAAGTACACCATAGACAAATAGACTACCTTGTTTATTGATATTTATAAATAAATAATTAAAATGAAATTTAATTTTCTTCTTCATGTATTGTTTTTTTTGTAATATATGCCTAACAAAGAAAGAATGATATTTTGATGTTGTTTATTCTGAGATGTTTTTATTTTGTTTTCTTTTTGGGATTATTTTTTAATTTCATTTTAAAGAATCATTGTTAATCAAAGATTCTAATTGTTATTATTTTGTCATGACTATTCTCAGCAATGAGCTACATAACTGGCTGAATACAATATGATGATGATGATATTGAATTGCCAGTATTTTTGTAATCATTTAAACAGTATTTATTTGTTTTTAATCATTTTTAATTATTAACAATCAGTATGTATGTTAGATTGCATGTGTTGTTTGTGTTGATATTGTATGAACTTCGTGATTTGTATTGATTTATATGCTCTATATGGACCCTTTAATTATTAGGAATAAAGACATTTCATTTACAGTAAAGTTTCTTTGGAAATTATTAAGGTCACATTTAGACCTCCTTGATTATATCAAATTAAAACAAATCAAATGTTTATTGACTTAAAAATTTCTTACAGCAAGTTTGTGACAAGAACATATATATAAAATAAGTAGACATTGTCTCATTGGCAATCATACCACATCTCCTTATTTTTATATACAAATGAAAATTCACAAATGCAAGTAAATAGTGAGAGTCCCCTGTCTACTACTTTCTAATGACATTTTAATGAAGGACCCTTTTTATATACTTGTGATGGTATTGTTAGATGTAGTATTAAAATCATCTTTTCTTTAGCAGAAAAATATTGATCATAAATGTTTCTCTCCAAATCACTGAAGAAAAAAAAATTTGTCAGATCCCTTATTAAATATACATTCTAATAAAAATGTTTTTCATCTATTAATATGTTACAGTTCAGGCATAATCTCTGCTCTCTTAAGATAAAAAAAATATATAGATGTTTAGTAAAAAATATAAATCAAATATATACTAGCTACCAGTACATTAATTTTTTTAAGGATAAAAAAAATTCAGATGACTTCAAATTCTGTTTTTTTTTTCTTTATTTCATTAATATGGCTGAATTTTAAATGCAAAAAAATAAAAATAGGAATATATTTATGATCACATATATATATGTTCATAAATATTTTTCTTGAGTGGAAGGCTGTTTTTATAAGGCCTGAGAATATCACACCACTTCTTTTGACATGCTTTGTTTACCTGAATTTTAACACAGTTGGAATTTTCTGCAGAATGTGCAGTGGTTGGTAGATCTCCAGACAAAAAATATTTTACAAAAGTAGCGAAGTCAATAAAGAAATGTGACTATAAGAAAAGATTCATGACAGTTCTTTGGGCTAATACAATCAAAGGTTACACAATATTGGAGTTTATTGTCAATAGTTTAGATTTATATATTATCTATATATCGTTCTTGCTTAAATGGATTGATTGAAACTTGAGAATTCTTTTAACTACCAAAGAGTGACAATTAATATTCAAACATTTGGCAAAGAACTCTTTATCAAAATAATCTTCTGAAAGGGTGTTGTCCTTAAAATAATTTTCATTTGAAATGATCTGTAGATCCATTTCAAATTTTAATTTCAAGTTTGTAAATTAATAGTTGGTAAGACTAAAGTTTTGTTCTCAAATAAAAAAAGTAGGCTGTACAATGAAAATTATATTGGGTGTGACTTAGATTGAATAATGCTGTTTTTTTTTTACTTTTTATTGATAATCATAATTGACTGAAAATTTGTAAAAAAAAATTTTTAATTTCATTTTGAATTTCTGAGATCCAGTCTTGTCAATATATGTTAACTTTTTAATTCAAATATTTTTTTTATATTTTCATTTTTCAGTAATGACATTTGCCTTTGAATTTCAATTTAATTACATCAGTGGAACTAATTTGATTCTGAACTCAAATTTTAATGATCTCCCTTATTGACACTGTCTTCAGTTCTCATAGTATTTGAATCACATCAGCTTTGTTGATTATCAATTTGTAACCCAGAAAAAAATCCATAACTGTAATTTTTTTAATGGAAAAGAGAGGGTAATATGATGCATCAATTTAGTACTCACTATATTCAGATGAAAGAAACAAAAGGCAATTTAGAAACAGCATATATACTACTGTACTTCATCCCAATGTCACAATGAGACCTTCAACATTGAGCACAAACTCTCACTGCACTGCATATTTAAGATGGCCCTTCGTAGGGGTGCAATCTGGCGTCATCATTGTATTGAAGAACACAGCTCTAAGGTGATAACAACAAATTATAGATTATATCTGCAAAGAAATCTAACAAAAACTTCCTTTTTTAGGGAGAGATCAACCATAATTTTGATTGTGATTTGTTAAATTACAATATTTTTTCTGCAAAATCCCAAGCAACTGCAGATAATTATATGGTACATACTTGGCTCTGGAAAATGCCAAGATGCAGATAGTCCTGAATAGGGTTGAAATAGTTGCCACTGGACATTAAGCAAGCAATCAACAAAGAAGGAGTGTTTTAAATGCAATATTCCTTTTATATATAATTTGGTTTTTGTTTGACACATGTACATCATTCCCATATCTTCTTTTCCCCTTTTAACAAAGTCAGCACCTACAATAATCTGAATTCCTTTTGTGTTTTATTTTTTGTTATTACCTGTAAACACAGTGATCATTCATTTTAAGAAATATTGAAAATATTATGTTGATAATCAAATCAAAAAAAATTTACTGAGGAAAAAATCAAAAGTTGGTAGAATTTGATGTGAAATGAGTTGCTTGATAGCATTTTTTTTTGTTTTGAAGTTGTTAAGTTATTATTTTTTGACTTAAATTTAAAAAAAATCTCTGAATGTAGAAACTAATGCATGTGCATTCTTAAAGGGAAATAACTCAAATAATTAATTATACTACGTTATAAACTAATTATATGCACTGACAGTACAATTTATTTTAAAGATATCTTAAAGATGTGGGCTAAAATATAGTTGGGATGGGATTGTTATATAATCATACAGCAGATTTTGTTTTATAAAGTTTGCTGAAATTCAATAAATAAGATGCTTCCCAAGGATAGGTTATTTGCTTATTATCATTGTGCATTATTGTACCTCAAAATATATTTAAACAAGTAACTTCTTTGGGATTGATTATGCAGACTTTAGGTATAAGTACTAGCCATATAGACAATTATTTATTGGATAGTTCTATTTATGAAGTAGATTGCATAATTAATATGACTTAAGATGAGATTTCTGTAGAAAATTTTTGGTCCCATATATATATAACTTTAATTCAGAAAATTGTTGTATGTAAAACAGCATTATCACTGGGCTGAAATAAGAGGCACTCAACCTAATTTAATAAAAATTATGACGATTTTATTGTCATGTTTTGATCAAGAAGGCAAAAGAAAGAGTCTTGAATAAATATCCATGTATGGGTTAGACTGTTAAAAATAGTGACAAGGTGTCTTGATTATAAATTATATTAGATTTAGTTGCCTGTACTTGTAACATATTAAAGTTTCTAGATTTTATTAGGGTGCAGACCTAATCAGATAAAAATAATGTTATATATGATTGTATACTGGTACATTTATTGCTAAGAGAACATGATTTACCTTTGAAATTTTAATTTAACAACTCCTTTGATGTCTTCATACCTTTATCACTAGAAAAAATAACCTGGCGATGATAAGCCCTGATTTGTAAGGGCATGGTTAAAAAATGAGCCAGAAATTAGTTTTAAACTTCAAAAACACCTTTTATTTCACTTTATTATTAATCTTTTGTGACAGTATCATATCTTCTATATATATTTCACATTAACAATTAAGATGTAAAATGAAATATGCGAATGCAGAAATTTGTCTGAAATATCAGACATTGTCAGAGGCTTTTGGTATTAAAAAAATATCTTTTTTCTTGAAAGGGTGAGACAACTATAGACATATGATAAAGAGCATTACTTCAATTGTTTAGTCCCCTGAAAAAATTATAGATCTATTAAATTACATATCTTATACTCAGTCTGGTTAAGGTCAATTTTGAAAAATTTTACACATGAAAAAAAAAGGCATTCATATAGTTGTAGGTGTCACTTTTTTTGTCAGAGCAATCTTATTTTTTAATCTTTCGTATTTTGTTTTCTTGTGTAGCCTTCTTTTTATATTCACTACATTCAAGCATATTTACTGAGGTCCCTGTACCCATAGGACAGTCAGACAGGGTTCATGAAGTAGAGTAAGCCATGGAAATATTTTTGAATGGTAGCAAACACAGTTTGATCATGTGCCATTCCTTATCTTTTCTGTATATGAAAGGGGTATTCTGTGGGTAGCTTGCTGGCTGTTTGACTGTTTTATTTTAAATTGAATATAAAAATAAGAAGTTATGGTATGATTGCTAATGAGACAACTCTCCACAAGAGACCAAATGACACATAAATTAACAACTATATGTTTATGAAAGGTATGAGAGATTTAGGGACTTGGAAAAACTAGTTTCAACATTCTACATTTTGTGCATATACCTAGTCAGACTTTTTGTGATGTATTTTTTGTTTTTGTGCTTGTGTGTGTGTTCTCTCTTTTTTGGTCTTTGGTTGTTGGTAATTTGTCCAATGTATGGGTATTTGTTAATTTGTGTTTTCTTTTATGTATGGATGTATTATAAGTTCCAAAAAGTTGAAGAAATTCTTGAACGTTTAGGTGGTTTACTTGATAAAAAATAGAACATTCACTTTAAATCTTTGAAGTCAAATATTGTCTTTTTGTGAGGTAAAAACTTTTAGGAAAACTTCATATTTCCTTTAATGGTGGCAATTCATGGATCTTGTAAATTTCCAGAAATTGTATAGATGATAGACCAATTGTTGTAGTTGAAAACATCTTTACATTTTGATATATTGTATTTAAAATTTAAGGATTCTGTATGGCAAAACACTACACACTTTTTCTTTGATGTTTTTGAACAAGCTGACATGTTTGTGAACCAGCAAAAGTTTTCTTAAGTTTGTAATGATGACATATTTTACTCTTTTATAAATAAAGCAAGTATATTTACTATAAGCAAGTAATCCAGTCCTATATATATGAACTGGGAGGTCAATATAGTCTTAGGAGGTAAAATTTAATGTTTACTTTCTTGACAATTTCATTACAAAACTGAGAAAATTGTGTGTTTTAATATTTATTTTGATCTTGAATCTTTCAGTTTTTATGCCATTAAATGATCATATTGTTGTATATTTCCATTTTAAATAGAGTGTTGTGAAATAAAATTGGTATAACAGTATGCTAATTAGGACCCCTTGTGAGTTGAAGAACATAGTTTTAAATGATGTGATATTTAGAACTGGGACAGATTTAAGAGAATGGCCTATAGTAGCACTCAACAGAGGAAATATTTGCCCAGTTTTAAGTCTGAAGTGTTAATATAAACTCCAGGAGAACTGTGAGCAAACAAAGACATGGTCCAATATGAATATACCTTTGTACATGACCTGGCATTTTATATTGATGTAAAGTTTAGCCCATCCTTTGTACCTTATGGATTTGATTCTTTGCTAATCTAAATAGTATCCCTTTGTTATAAAGAAATTTCTGTGCGAATAAATTACAAATATTTGTTTATGTTTGAAAAAAGGAAAAACTTACATAACTTAATCAACCAGACTTTTCTTTTGGTATTTTTTGATACAATCAAGGTACCATTTTTCCAAGGTGAAATAGTACACCTGCTCCAAAAGAGTAAAGACTAGTCTATAGCTTTCATCAATACATTTCACTCTGGTTTACAAGAAGTCTCATCTTTAATATACTTCCTCTAGAGTTTATCAATATGCAACTTGTCCGGTACTATTGACAGGGGCAATGCATATATTCAGTTTAGGTTATAGTTTGAGTGGTCATGATAAAGCAGAACATTTAAGAATTGATTTTTTATGCCCCCGCCAGCAACTGAAATTTGGGGGGGATATTGTTTTACCCCTGTCTGTCCGTCCTTCTGTCTGTCCTTCCGTCCATCCTTCCATCCGTCCTTCCCATTATGGGTATATAGCTATTCCAGATAACTCCTCCTACAGTTTGAATGCTAGGAAGTTTTCACTTTGCTGGCTGTTTGTAGTACTTTGTATATATATTGAAGGTGTGCATGTGGTCAGGGTTTTGGTTTTTATTTATATTTGATCTTTTGGGAGATAGTTGAACTTTGTCATTTTTTGGAGTATTTACTTGCATAAGAGGTGCATAGCGTTTCCAGTTAACTCCTCCTACAGTTTGAATGCTAGGAAATTTTCACTTTGCTGTCTGTTTGTATATATATTGAAGGTGTTCATGTGATGAGGGTTTTAATTTTTATTAATATATGCTCTTTTGGGAGATAGTTGAACTTTGTCATTTTTGGAGTATATACTTGCATAAGAGGTGCATAGCGTTTCCTGATAACTCCTCCTACAGTGAACCATAGACCTATGTGCTCCCATGCTCAACTTTTTGTATTTTGAAATAACACTTTGCATCTGCGGAGGCATCATTTGTGTCTCCCAGACACAATAATATCTCAAAGAAAGTCCTACAGTTACTTCAGAGTGGAGTGCTGGGGCATCACTTTGTCTAGTTTTTTATTCAATCAGAAAGATTTGCATCAAAAATGTTTTTTTAAAAGTTACAAGGTAAATAGTAGATACTTTCAATTAAAAATAAATAGAAATAAACTGATTATTCCCAACCTGTTTTTTACATGAATGAGATATTTTTGTTGGTGTACTTGATGCATAATTTTTTGTTGAATACTAAACTTAAACTGGATAAATTTGTTTTTTTTAAATATATAAAATCTCTAAATATTTTTCATATTTTTGCAGAAATTCCCAAATTCCTTAAAAGCCCACAGGATGTACAAGTGGAACTTGGAACGACAGCTCAGTTAGAATGCCATGCTACAGGACCACCAAACCTAGTCATATCATGGCAAAAAGATGGCATTAGCAATTTTCCTGCCATTCAGCAGAAACGATGGCATGTTGAACCAGCTCAGTCTGTTACATTTATAAGTGAAGTGAAGACAATTGATGAGGGAGTTTACAGTTGTATAGCAACAAACCAAAATGGTACAGTAACAGCTAATGCTACTGTTTCAATAGTTGGTGAGTAACTTGTGTTATAAATAAACAATCCCCAATTTATTTGGTAGACAAATATGGGTGTTAAAATCAATTTTAAAAAGGAGCTTTTATCATGTGTCAAAAGGCTTATATTTTAACTGTAGATCTGGCCATTATAGGAATTCTCCTGTATGTAAATACTGATTAATGAGACAGCAATCAAACAATATGAGTCGGAATAAAAGAGACATCTAAGGTTAAAAATATAGTTCTTTATTCTCAAAAAGAGAATGACTATCTTGTTTAAATGTTGAAAGATTATACCAAAGTCATGAAAGACTGAGAAAAACAGTACAACAGTCACAGCATAGTTCAAAGAAGACCAACGTTTGTTTTATACCAGACAGTCATTGAGTGAATGCAGTGTTTTCTTTATAAAAAATGCTTACTTTCAGCTATTTAGTATTATTAAAACTACTTCAGACAATAATAGTGGTAAATATGATGGTTTTATTTGAAAAGTGACATTGGTCATATATTTTTTCTATGGGAATTGAAATTATGGCGACAGTGTGTTTCTTTAGAAAAAAAGTAAGGTAAGGTATGTACTTTGTCCTTAAATCTATGCTTTAGACAAACAAAATGAATCGGTTCTTGCCTTTTTAAATAAACAATCTTAAATTGCAGTTTGAAGATTGAATTCTTGATTGTTTTAAGCTGAAAATTAAATACCGTAGATAATTATAGGACATAAGATATTCACAAGGAATCCATCATGTTTCCCACACTGACTGATTTGTCAGTAAGAATTTCGGTCCTATTTTTTATTTTGACCTTGATCAATAAAATTTAACCTTTAACTTAGCACCTGTGTCTAATTGTTTTACAGCTTTATACAATCAATCTAAAATCCATCTAAAAAATACATAAAACAAATTCTTATCAAATCTGTGATGATCAGCATTTAAAAGACAAAAAAGTCAATAGTGATCAACAAAGCTTTATCTTATTTTGTATTCATACGAGTTCAATCGAACGATTAACTCTTTTATGTTTGATTTTTATAAATCTTAGATAAACTTTATAGATTTTAGTCATTTGTAAACAACATCATTGACTAAAAAGGGATAAAAAAGAATTGGATATTGTTTAAAATCACAGTGAAACTTTCTATAATCAGTCAGTTGAAAATTGATCTGAAAAGACGTACCCAGTGATATTTAGGACTTCACTGATTTTGTATGAAGCTTGGATCATATCAGATACATGTTGGTCTTCAATGTTCTGTTTACAGAAGTGATTTACTTAGTTTTCCCACACTTTCTTTGCTGAATGATACATGTTTTTGGGTGCAGATTAAGAATGTCATCTACCTGATTCATTTAAGTTTCTAAGAAATTTTAAAGTTAAAGATAATAAAGTTAAATCACACAACAAAATTTTGAATTCAGACTAACTTTTAATAATAAGTGCATTTTGTACATCTTGAAGTGCATTAAACTAAATTACACACAACACTTGGGTGTTAGCTGAGAAATTAATTGTTAATTGACCTATGTGCCGAGAGAGGTCCTGTTAAACAATGGCACATAAATAATAATACTCCATGGGAGAGACAGTTAGATATGTATATAAGTCATACTAAATGTCATTACAATCGTTACATATTTATAAAATAGTTTGAATTATTGTATTCACCAAAAATATGGTGTTACAAAGCTTTAATTTAAATATCTTATTCAAATTTTATGTTAAATTGAACAACATTTCGGACTTTGAATTGCCACAATGCCTAATGAGATCTTGAGAAACACAGATTGAAATTTAAGTATTTTTGATGATCGATGTTAAAATCTAGTTTTTTCAGGACTTAAATGGTGGTAGATTACATTTATGTATAAATTTTGATAACAGAGCCATTTATATCCTTTTCAAAGTATGGTTAAAAAGGACTTCCCAGTGGTAAATGTTAGTAATAAAATAAATACAAATCTGAGTATTATATTTCCTATGTTAATTTATTTACGACAATTTCTAAAGATAAATCTATTCGAGGTGAGGTTAATGAAGTGCTAGGAAAAGAGTTAATCATGTGGTTGTATCAGTTAAACAGGCATGCAACAGATGAAAAAAACTTTAAAATTTCATCCAAATAATTGAATAAATATCAGAATTTTAAAATAAAAATATCTTGAACCAGTCCATTATTCAGTATGGTCATCTGAGGTTCTGTAAACTTTTTGACAATTTTCCTTAAAAGGCATGCTGTTCCAGAATCCAGAGTTATGGGACTTTAATCATTGGAAATAAGCATTTTTTTCTCTTGTCACACACTTACTCAAGGAAGCCTGGAGAAATTTACTTCACAAACTTTTACTAAATTATTATTAAAAGAGTCTAAAATTTAGGGTCTATATACTTTTTAACAATTTTCATTTTATTTTTGCATATAGAATATATAAATGATTGCTTGATGACAATATTTCTGTTCTGTTTGGGCACTTTTAAGACAAGATGTTGGTATTTTTTTCATGCATTTCATTTCCATGACTTCTAGTGTCATATGTACTTATTGAAGATTATATTTGTGCATACTGAAATTGATAGCAAATGCCAGTTAGTGTGAACGTTTGTACCACCAAAAAAAATACTACAGAAAATTTATATACCAGTATTAATCTGTGCATGAAGTTCTCCATGATCTTTAAAATTTTGGGATTTGATCATTTTAAAGTAGAAGTAGATTTAGAAAGAAAAAGTTCACCATTCTGAGTAGGTGTCATGAGTTTTTATGGTTGATTTTCATCTCTGTGGAGTTACAGAAGATATGTCAAGTTTAACTGTTTGTGTTTTGTTGAGATTTCAATAAATTATAATAAAATATTGTATCATAAAACCATTTACATCCATAAATTATAGAATTTACACACACAATTTATTTGTTTTTGGTTGAACATTATGTAAAACACTCCTGTTTTCAAAGTTAGAATAGGTAGCATAAAGGAGGACCTATGTTCTCTGATCAGCTTAAAGTTTGTAAGACCATTCCCCGCTGTCATTCTCAATAAAACTTCTGTCAATGGCAAACATTAAATAATCTTTAATAGCGGAAGAATTCTACGATAAAACTTTTCTTGTGTGAATATGTGCCATATTAGGGAAGAGTGTTTTACCATATTTAGCTGCCCATTACTATAGAAATTTTGTCAATTGTAGTCAGGTCGTCCCATATTTGTGTAACAGTATGGTTAACATGTTCTCGCCACAATAGAGAATCCTCAATATATTCAATAACAAAGGTTATTTCAAGTTATATTCAAATCAATTTGATTTTATCAGGAAATTCTCCGTCTTTTTCTCTCTTTGAAATAAGGGAAAAAATAGTTTAATTTAAAGTAGAATGAAATGCATATAAAATTCTTGCACAAATCGAAAAATCATTCAAAAGAAATATAAGCTAAAAATTCCTGAATTAATTTCAACTACTCTAACTGGTAATTATTTATGGAATGTTAATGTTAAAAGATATTTTATTATTTCCCTAAAAGCAACATTATTAAATCATATTGTAGGACATATTTATACCTGTTGTAGCATTCTGTAAAGTGGCTTTTGTAAAATTAATTTTGTATATTTTTAAAACAAATGTTTGCTAAATTGTAAAAAGTGTTGTTAATTTGTAGGCCTTTGTCAAGAGTTTTGGAGTTCATTGGATAATATTACTTTAAATGCCAAAATGAAAAAACTTTCAACAATTTATTTCAATTTTTTATTTGCCTTAAATTTTGTCCTTGGCCCTGAACAAAGCTTTCACATGAAAGATCTACCAGTAGTTGTTTTTCAATTTCGTTTTTAGTAGTTGCCTTTGTGCATTATTTCACAGATTCTGAACACTTGTTTTATATCATATGGAAGTGTTCATTTGTTAGATATTTTATTGTTATAATAATATTTTTCAGTTGTGTTTGTCCAAAAAATAGTCTTTGTTCAAACTGTTTATCCACAATTGAGAAGTCTGCCCAACCTCTTTGGTGATTCACAAAATCTACACCTACGGAAACCTCTAATAATTAATAGTATCTATGACAGATACTTTTTCATCATTAACAATTTCACAGTCAGTTTCTCTACTGGACACTTACACAGACAAAGGCCAGGGATAATTAATAGATCATTACTGACCAGTGGTCACTCTACACTGGACAGTGGGGGTCCTCTGATAAGGATGTGTATTACCACTATTTATCATGTACTTATGTTCATAGAACATCAATAAAAGGTTATAAATCCATGCTTAAACAATTAGTTAAACAGCTGAATATACTGTATATCAACACTTCTATCAGAAAATATTGGTCTGGATGGGGGATTAATGGTATTGTTTGACAGTCATTGTTTTAGGGTGGTCTGATAATGATTTGTGGCAGGGAATGTTGTAAAATAAAGTATGGCTTAGGGGAATGATATCAGATCAGTGCCACATATTGTCACTGATCATAGAATGGTATTTAGATATTAAAGGTAGACATTTATTTCCAATAACAGGAAAAATCATAACAATGATAAGAAACATTTATTTGCCTCTATGGAACAAAGATTGACCAAACATCATTGATACCAGGTGTCTGTATTCACAAAACCTAGCTTATTTCTAAGTATTTGTTTGTCCATTTAGGAATTTGGTGAGGATGCGGTAGATCATATATGTATAGTAGGTAATATTTGTTGAATTTATTCACAAATCATTTTCATAAGGTAAAGATCCTTGTCTGTTGAAACGTAAACCTCAGGATAACTTTCAGGGTTTTTTCCTGCCAAGTTGCTGTCTTATGAACAAATCTATTGTATATCTATTTTTATATTCCTATTCCTTGCTATGAAATAAGAATCTGTACTGTATTAGATTGTAATTACTAAATAGATGATATATACATATAGTTGATTGGTGTATATAAGATTTCATTTGTTCATCATGTCTGCTTTGTGTAAATATTCAATTAAGCTCTCCTGCAATATAGCCTTTTGGGTAAAGGTGAACTAAA